CTGGCTGAGGGCATTAGGAGCTTTGCCTCTTGTGAGGGCCATTTGGGACCTCTCTGGGGCAATGGGCAGTTGATAGTGTACCGATGGAGGATTCTGGGCAATCTGGAACAGCACCTGGTGGGGTCCTGCGTGTGTGCTCTGTGGGCTCTGGTTTCCTCTGTGGCGGGGCCAGGGCACGGCTCTCACCCGCGGAGTGGGGGCCATCTTGATGCTGCTTTGCCTTAATGATGGCCACAACTGGGCTGCACTGCACCATGGGAGAGGCCAGCCCAGCTACAGACTGCTTAGGGACTTCTTTGTCCACCCTGGGGGGTAAGCCCATGTCACTCTCCCTCATTCTCGGCACTGTGGACAGAAAACGCTTGCCTATTGGCTTCTCACGTGGCCAGGGCTGTGCTGGCACCTCCAGGTCCGCCTGGCATGGGACGCCAAGTAGAAGGCCTAGGCAGCTCATCTGCTCTTGGGACCAGGGGCCAGTTGGGTTGGGTATGTTCATGGCAGAGCTGTCCTGGAGGGTTAGGAGAGGTGGAGAGGAGCTGGGCTGCAGCGGACTGCCGCGGGTGCAACTCCCAGTTCACCTGCTGCGGGCTGTCTGCTCTCCCTCCTGACAGCTGTCACGGCTGAAGTTTTGTCCTCTGCTGTCTCCTCTGATCCCCTGAGGTCGTCTGTGAGCTAGGTGGCCAAGGCTTCCCGTGTTGCTTCCCTGTGAGTCCAAGGCCTTCCCCATCACTGGGCAGAGGCTGGACAGCACAGACGTCTAGAGACCTCGCCTCATCGCCAGTTCCTCTCCCACTCGCTCGTCCTCCGCCATGCTCTTCCAGCTTCCTTTTCACCTTCACCAGCATTTCCCTTACTCTCAAGTTCTGGCATCTACATCATTCATGTTTTCTTTTGTCTTTTAGCTAAAGAAAAAGAGTTGGTGATTTGTCTGCTTCTGGTTTTGAGTTACTCTTTGTTCAGTAATGCACTTTATTTTATTGTCCAAAGAGAGTCAGAGCTAAGCCTACAGGCTTCGGGGTGAGCCCTGTTATGAGAGTCCAGGCCCTGGGAGGCTCAGCCACCTTCTCATGTGGGAGGGAGGTCTCAGCCCCACCTTGCCTCCTCACCTGCCCTTGGTATGGACACACCCTCTTATGCTACCAGCAGCATAACCCACTGGGGGTGACTGGGTGCACACCTGCCCAGGTGCAGCTGCCAGGCTCCTTGCCCTGGCCACCTCCAACCAGACTGCTCCTGGAACACAGGTGCTCCTGCTTCGGCTCTGTTTTGGCTTACAGGTGTGCATCACTGGGCTTGGATTCGCATTACATTGACCGCAGCCCTGCAGTGGAACCTAATAAAAGCGCCTGAAGCAACTGCCTGCTCCCAGTGTGTCCTTCCTGTGCACTGAACTGTTGTCTGGCATCTGCTCAGTGTGGGGGTTTGATAACTTGTCCCCAAGATACCACGGTCTTCCGCTGATGGGAAGACAGGGTCTTTATAACAGTGTGGACCGTTACAGGAGGAGACCCTCCTTCCCCAGCCTGTCCGTCCCCACCTTGGCTTGTCCATAAGGAGGAGGAGGAGATTGTATCAGTGTTGGACAGCCTGGCCGCCCTTGGGTCCCTCTTCCGCTTCTGCCCCACCTGTCAGCCCTGTGGCCGCTCCAGAGTCACTGCTTTGTGGACAGGTGCACATGGCGAAACAGCAGGTGAAGGACAAAACCCAGACTGCACAGGGGCAGCAAGGAGTAAGGCCTGGAGGCTGACATGCTGCCTGCGCTTGAGCTGTCTTTCCCTGTGACTGAACAAAGTTCTGGAACAAGCTCCCTCTGACCCTCAGGTAGGAGCCCTTGCATCCGCTGTTCGGCACCACTTTGTCCTGTGGCCAGTGATTCATTGCTGCCTTGAGCAGTTACAAAAAAACAAAAACCCCAACTAACATCTGGAGGGGCGCCTGGGGTGAAGCAGCCACGGGGCAGTTACCAGGGGGGGCCTGGCTTCTGGATGTCAGGAGTGAAAGGGTGGACCCCAGCACCCAGCCTCCAGTCCTGCACCTTCAACACAGTGCAGTTCACTCGATTACCCACAGCTCCTGTGATCAGAACTCCAGCCTGGGCCATGGAGTGAGACTATCTCAAATAAGACTCATGTCACATAAGAGTCATGGCACACTTACGTGAGAGGGAGTGAACGTCCTTGGAGCTTTCATCCTCTCTGGTTTATGTAAAGATAAAAGCCAGACATAGTGGCTCACACCTGTAATCTCAGAACTTTGGGAGGCACCTGAGGTCAGGAGTTCTGGCCAAAATGGTGAAACCCTGTCTCTACTAAAAACACAAAAACTAGCTAGGCATGGTGGTGCACACTTGTAATCCCAGCTACTTGGGAGGCCCAGGCAGGAGGACCACTTGAACCCGGGGGGCCAAAGGTTGCAGTGGGCCAAGATTGCACCACTGCACACTGCAGCCTGGGCAACAGAGCAAGACTGTCTCAAAAAAAAAAAGTGGGGGGCACAGTGGCTGACACCTGTAATCTGTAATCCCAACATCAGGAGGCCAAGGCTGACAGATCACTTAAGGTCAGGAGTTCAAGACCAGTCTGGTCAACATGGTGAAACCCCGTCTCCACTAAAAATACAAAAAAAATTACCCAGGTGGGGTGGTGTGCTTGCGACTGTAATCCCAGCCACTTGGGAGGCCAAGGCAGAATTGCTTGAACCCAGGAGGCGGAGGTTGCAGTGAGCCAAGATCATGCCACTGCACTCCAACCTGGACAGCAGAGAGAGACTCTCTCAAAAAACAATTAAAAAAAAAAAAATGGTTCTGATGCGAATCCCCCACGAAAGCAAGCAAATTGTACTGCTTAGAAACAGAACTCAGGCCCGGGGTACAAGACCAACCCGTGCAACATGGCAAAACCCTGTCTCTGTTTAAAAACAAAAATTAGTCTGGCGTGGTAGTGTGCACCTATAGTCCCAGCTACTAGGGAGGCTAAGGCAGGAGGTTGGCTTGAGACTGGGGTGTTGAGGCTGCAGTGAGCCGAGATTGTGCCACTATAGCCTCAGGGACAGAGTGAGACTGTTTCAAAAAAAAGAAGGTGGGTCCTTTCCGGTCTGTTGTCACTGGGTTGTGCTGCTCTTGGGGGAGGTTCCTCAAGTGGGTCCTCCTCACCCTCAGCACAGGCTGAAGTTTTGTGGTTTCTCCCCTCAGTCTGACTAAATTGTTAGATTCCTTCGTATAATTTGTCCTTAGAGAGATGCACCTCCAAGTTGGGCATAGAAATGCAGTGTCCGGCGGTCCGCTCTGCTGTCTCAAAGTCTTCTGCCAGGAGTGTGTGCACTTTTCACACCCACAGCAGAGCCCGTCGCCCTTCGCCAAAACATAGGTGGGGCACGGCACAGCCCAGCAGCTGATGGAGAGCCGCCCTTGAGTCCTTTCCTGGTGTCTAACTCACCCCCTTTCCTCTGGGATCCATGCTTGAGGTCCCCCCACATGATTGTTGATGATAAATCTTGTTGCAGAGAGGAGAAGCTAGCTAGGCTTGGCATGGAGTCAAGAGCCTGCCAGCCACCGGAACAGAATGGAGTGGGACGCGGACTGAACTGCAGGTTGAGGCTGCTGGTTTAGCGGGCCTCCTCCCGCCTCCGCATCCTCCTCCACGTGACCGTGACCATTTCCTCTAGGAGTCTTGGCATATTTCGTTCCGTGTGGAAGACATGGCCTGGGAGGACTGGATGGGAGTTGGTGTATGTGAGCGAATGACGCACAGGCTTCAGAGGGTGAAAACTATCGGTCAGAAGACCGGCCAAGAATCTCTGCCAGGGATATTCACAAGGACGGGGGATCTGCACTTTCTGACTCTGAAGGCCAAGTGGGCTGCCCCTGGCCCTCCTCTCTCCAGCCCCCAGCATCAAAGACAGCATTTCCAGCCCAAACACCTTCAGAACAGTCCTGGCGAGGAGAGAGGAGCAAGAAACTGACTCCAAGTGCCACACTTGAATCTAACCCAACACCCAGAATCAGATATGCCTGTTGCCTTAGGGTCAGTCCCCACCCCAACCACGAAGAGGGAGGGGTAAGGACGTCTGTTTACACGTGGTGCCTTGTGCTCCGGCTGGTGCGCCCGGACTTCACGATGTCTGCCTAACTTCCGAACCCAGTTTTGCAGCCCTGCCCCTAGAGTCTCCCTTAAGGGTGTCTAGACTTGGCGCTTTTCAGATTGGCTTTTTAAACGGAAGGAGGTGGGCCAGGGGCGGGGTTCCTGGGTCTTTTACTTGTGAATGGTGTGCCTGCTTTGCTCTCTTCCGGGCGTGGAGGTGTCCGTGCTGCAGGCCCCTCCACGGACGTCGTCTGGTCAGTACCAGTGTCCTGGAGGAAACGGAGGGCTGCCCAGGAGGGAGAGGGTGGAGGTGTCCTGCCCTGGCTCACCGTCATGTTCTTGGTTGTCCCCTGCCCCCAACCCAGAAACCCCATTGGTGTACTCGCTGTCCCCACGTGTTCAGCCACGGAGGGAGACGCACTTCCACCTAAGCTGGCTCACACCGCTTGGCCATGAACGTGGGGGCGGCCGGGGGCGGCCCGCGGAGCGCAGGGCAGAGACCCATCCCTAGCGGGACAAGAGCCGGCGCTGCCCCACCCCGTTCCCGGCTGGAGTGCGCTCCGGCAGGATCCAGCTGCTCTCCGAGAGAATCCAGGGGTTGACGCCAAAGCCCGAGGAGCGGAGCCCTGCTCCCGGGAGACGCCCGAATGGAGCGGGATCGAGCCCCGCCCAAGACCAACCTCTGCTCGGCCAGGCCCCGTTTCCCCACCCTGGGGAACCCGTGCAGCAGCCGGGGCCATGGAGCCACCGAGGGCGTCCACCGGCCCGCCGGATCGACCCCGACGCACGGTGCCGCAGCCTCTGGGAAGGACCCCCCGCTTCCCGCGCCGGCGGGACCCAGCGGCGCAGCCACTGCGGCCCGCCCTCGGCCCGCGGACCACTTTACGGCAGAGGTCGCGCCGCACAGCGGGCTGCCGTAAAGCGCTCCGAGGCGGAGCCGCCGCCGTGCCGCCCGGGCTCCTCAGCCTGACCGGCCCGCGCGCACGATGGCCGGCGCCGCGCCGCGGGTCCGCTACATGGCGGGCTTTCGCTGCCCTCTCGGGGGCCTGGCGGCGAGCAAGCCCCGCGTGCTGTGCCACGAGGCGGAGGTCTTCCTGTCCACCGGGAGGGAGCTCGTCTACGTGTACGACCAGGAGGGCGGGCTGCTGACCGTGAGCGCCGGCCCGCGGGGACGGGAGGGCCCGGGCGGGGGCGGCGGTTCCGTGGACACGAAGACCGCGGGCCCGCGCGTCCCGTCGGCCTGACGCGCGCCCCGGTCCGCAGGCGGCGTTCCGCTTCCCCGACCAGGTGTGGCACCTGGAGCTGCTGGCGCCGCGCAGGCTGCTGTACGCGCTGTGCGCGCGGAGGGGCCTTTACTGCCTGCCGCCGGACCGCCCGGGCAGGAGCAGGTGAGCGCGGGCCCGCGGCCCCCCGCACGTGCCCGCCGCGCCCGGGGACCCGGGCTGCCGCGCTCGGGGACCCGGCCGCCATCCCTGCCCACGCGTGGAGCCCCCGCCCCCGGCACTCTTTCTGGAAGTGTCTCTCAGCCCTTGGTTAGCGGGGTTCAGAGGGTTCGCCCACGGTGGGGCGGGAGACCCTGCCCTCTGCGCCCTGGTGGCCGGGCGCCGTCTGGGGAGACACGCCCCCGAGGCTGGGTCTTCATCGGAGGGAGGAGAAGGCAAAAGCAACATGACCGCGAGTCCCTGATCAGTGGAGACCATCTGGGTGGGAAGGAGGAGAGCGCGGGGCAGCCCGGCCGGTGCTCAGCGCGGAGCCTGCAGCGGCTGACCGCAGCCCGTGCTGTCGAGGGGCCGCCTGGGCCCAGGCCGGACGTTCTGTGCTGCGGGGTGCCCGTTCAGGCTGGTTTTGGATGCGTTGCTGCTTCCTGTACTTCATTCCATTGGATGCCTGGGTGCTTTCTGGGTCCTTTGTGTCCTCCGTGTACCAGCGGAGTCCCTGGGGAAGGTGGGAGGCCACGTGGCAGATGGACGGCTGAGCAGCCTTGAGGGTCACTGAGGGGACCCATGAGACAGCCTGATCCATGCCAGGTTGTGAAGAGAGCCTGGGAATCCCACCCTGCCCAGGCCTGACTGGTGTGTTCCTTGTTCTCAAAGGTCTACAAGCCAGGATGATGGGGACAGCGAGGACAGTGACCAGCCATGCCCTGTGATCCCTGTGGACCCCGATGCCTGCGTCCTTCCCGATGCCGCGCTGTGCGCATTCACCGTCCTGGACAGTGTGCTGGTCACCCTGGTGCAGGGCCCTGCCCGGTGGAAGATGCAGCTGTTTGAGCGGCCCTCTCCAGGGGAGGACGCCCGGCCAGGAGGCCAGATCGGTGAGGTGGAGCTGTCCACCTACACCCCCCCAGCCGGGGTCCCAGGAAAGCCTGCAGCCCCCCACTTCCTCCCAGTGCTGTGCTGTGTGTCACCATCAGGCTCCAGGGTCCCACACGACCTCGGGGGCTCCGGGGGCTTCTCGCTGGAGGACGCCCTCTTTGGTCTCCTCTTTGGAGCCGATGCCACCCTCCTGCAGTCACCTGTGGTCCTCTGTGGTCTCCCTGATGGCCAGCTCTGCTGTGTGATCCTGAAGGCCCTGGTCACCTCCAGCTCAGCCCCTGGTGACCCAAATGGCCTTGTCAAGATCCTCCATCACTTGGAGGAGCCTGTCATCTTCATAGGGGCCCTGAAGACAGAGCCACAGGCTGCAGAAGCTGCAGAGAATTTGCTGCCTGACGAGGATGTGCACTCTGACTGCCTGGTGGCCCTTGGTCACCAGGGCCGGATGCTGGCCATCAAGGCCAGCTGGGATGAGTCCGGGAAGCTGGTGCCTGAGCTGCGGGAGTACCACCTCCCAGGCCCTGTGCTCTGCGCCGCCTGTGGCGGGGGTGGCCTCGTGTACTACAGCACCCCTTCTGACCTCTTTGTGGTGGATCTGTCTCGGGGAAGCACCCCGCTGAGCGCTGAGCAGCCCGATGAAGGCCCAGGAGGCCTGCCCCCCATGCTGTGCCCTGCCAGCCTGAACATCTGCAGTGCCGTCTCACTGTCGGTGTCTCCCAGGATGCAGGAAGGTACGAGCCAAGTGGCTGTCTGAAATGAAAGAGGGGAATCCTGGGTGCAGCCTCCTTTTTGGCTGTCTTCTGCCGTCAGGCCGCTTTCCTCTCCTGGGCTTGTTCTTTTGCAAGGCTGACAGGTGCTGGCACAGCCTAGTGGCTAACTCCCTTCTTGTCTCTGGGTCAGGCAGGGGCTGGTGGTGGGTCTGCGTGTTGCTCTGCCTTTGGGGGATCTAGGGTATGTCCCTCTGCCTGGTGGGGGCTGAGTGCGCTGCCAGCTGGCTGTGGACTCAGAGGAAACTGAATCTTGGGGTCCGCCACAAGCGCCTCCTCAGCAGGTCCTGTGTGGCAAGCAGCTGAGGGCGGTCTGTTCTGGACTTGGGCTTCTTCCACAGGCTGCACGCGCCTGCTTGTGTCACAGTGTGGCCTGCCTGTGAGTCTGCTCTGGATCGAAGACAGATAGCATCATAGAGCTCTAGTTTTGGGTTTTCCACAGAAAAAGCCAGAGAGGGTTTCACCTGTGTGTGCCCAATGCTGGGGTGAAAGGAATAGAGCCACTCCATACCCCGCCAGTGCATTTTTTCCTGAGTGTACTCACGTTGTGAGCATGCTAAGAAATTTTGCCATGGAAAATGCGCAGTACGAGAGAAGGGCTTCGAAGGGAAAAGCCAGACTCTTTCCACTGCGGAAGAGGCGGCTGCAGACGGGGTCAGAGATGGGGAGGCTTGGGGCCACCGACCAAAGCCCAGGGTGTGGACAGCGCCTGTGTCTGTCTCGAGACTTTCTCTTCCTCACTGCGCTGGCTTTGGCCTTCTGCCAACTTCTGTCCTGGAGCCCAGGGAAACCACCGAGTGTCACGCTGTTTGCCCCTCCCAGCCTGCTGACCAGGCTCCATGTGTATCCGTCACCAGGTGGCACTGAGCTTCTGGCCCTGTCTGCCAAAGGCCGCCTGCTGACCTGCACCCTGGACCTGGAAACAGAGATGCCTGGCTCAGCCAGGATGACCGCGGAGAGTGCAGGCCGGAAGATTAAGGAGCTGCTGTCTGGAATAGGCAACATCTCTGAGAGGTGAGCAGCCGGGCAGAGGCTGGTGCGGCATCCTCTGGAGGTCGTGTCCCTGTACGGAGTCGTCCTGGGTCTGGGAGTCCTCGGGTCCCAATGGGCCAGGCCAGGCCATTTCTTGGCCTCTTCTTTTGAGAGGGAGTCTCATTTTATCACTCAGGCCGCAGTGCGGTGGCGCGATCACCATTCAGTGTAACGTCCTCCTCCCGGCTTCAAGCAATTCTCCTGCCTCAGCCTCCCAAGTAGTTGGGATTATAGGCGCCTGCCACCACGCCTGGGTAATTTTTGTATTTTTAGTAGAAATGGGGTTTCACCACGTTGCCCAAGCTGGTCTCGAACTCCTGGGTTCAAGTGATTCACCTGCCTTGGCCTCTCAAAGTGCTGGGATTACAGGCTTGAGCCACCATGCCCTGCCATTATTTGTCCTCTTAAAATGTCTTGAGAGCCTCAGGCATCACACTGCTTGATGACAGGCTGCCCAGCTGCCTGCCTCTGGAAGATGAGCCGGGACCGCCCCCCAGCATCCCACACTTTCTCCCTAGTGGGGCACAGGAGACATCCCCTGCTGAGTCCTCACCCGTCCTGTTCTCAGCATAGGACCAGCGTGCTTTTCCTCCCGCAGCGCCGGCCTTGGGATGTTCAGAGAGAACATGGAGTGCGCAGCATCCCTGCACCCCTCACATGACCACTGGGGGCACAAGAGTGAGAGCCTGCCACTCTAGGTCCCTGTGGTTTAGGGCTGTTTCTGTAGTGCCTGCCACCCCTCTGCCTATCGCTGTGAAGGCTGCGAGGGAGAAAAGAGGCCCTCTAGGAACATCTTGGGGAGCTGAGGGTGGGGCAACATTCCACCTGGCCCCTGCGTGGCCCAGACATGGGTGGTGAGCTTCTGGAACCTGGCAGTTAGCCTAGGCACCCCCCAGCACTAGCTCCAGCTCCATCTTCTGTCCCCTTTCCTCCTGTGGCACAAGAGGAGGGGTCTGGTCAGATGGCTGGAGGTCACTTCCAGAGAGGCTTGGTGTGGGTGGGACCAGGAGAGCCAGGCTCCTGGGGCGGGGTCACTCTGGCATGGCTCCACCCCCACCACATTCAGTGCTTACCCGTCCTGAGTTAAGATGTGGCACCCGGCGCTGTGGTGTCCCCCCTCTCCTGGGGGTCGTGTCTGTTCTTCGCAGAGTGTCTTTTCTGAAGAAAGCGGTTGACCAGCGGAACAAGGCCCTGACAAGCCTCAACGAGGCCATGAACGTGAGCTGTGCACTGCTGTCGAGCGGTGCGGGTCCCAGGCCCATCTCCTGCACCACCAGCACCACCTGGAGCCGCCTGCAGACACAGGACGTACTGATGGCCACCTGTGTGCTAGAGAATCGCAGCGACTTCAGCCTGGACCAGGGGTGGACCCTGTGCATCCAGGTGCTCACCAGCTCCCGTGCCCTCGACCTGGACTCGGCCTGCTCAGCCATCACCTATACCATCCCTGTGGACCGGCTTGGCCCCGGCACTCGGCGGGAGGTGACGCTACCTCTGGGCCCTGGTGAGGATGGCGGGCTCGACCTGCCTGTTACCGTATCCTGCACACTCTTCTACAGCCTCAGGGAGGTGGTGGGCGGGGCCCTGGCCCCTTCGGACTCTGAGGACCCCTTTTTAGATGAGTGCCCCTCCGACGTGCTGCCTGAGCAAGAGGGTGTCTGCCTGCCCCTGAGCAGGTACACGGTGGACATGCTGCAATGCCTGCGCTTCCCTGGCCTGGCCCCGCCACACACACGGGCCCCCTCCCCGCTCGGCCCCCCGAGTGACCCTGTGGCCACTTTTCTGGAATCTTGTCGGGAGCCGGGCGGCCAGCCAGCAGGACCCACCTCCCTGCGGGCTGAGTACCTGCCCCCATCTGTGGCTTCCATCAAGGTGTCAGCGGAGCTGCTCAGGGCTGCGTTGGAGGACGGTCACTCAGGTTAGTGGCACTGATTGGCTTTGCTCAGCCAAGTCCTTGGGACTTTTTTTTTTTGTTTATGAGACAGGGACTTGCTCTGTTGTCCAGGCTGGAGTGCAGTGGTGCAATCATGGCTCACTGCAGCGGGAAATGATCTTCCCATCTGGGTCTCTCAAAGTGCTGGGATTACCCGTGTGAGCCACTCCACCCCGCCCACCTCAGGCCTGTGGACATGGGCTGTTCCTCCCTCTTCCGGCTGCTCCTGGGGCAGCCTGGCCCCCAGCCCAGCGAGCTCTGCTCAGGAAATGAGCTTCGCTTGCGTCCTGCCTGCTGTTAGGATCTCGTCTTACGTGGTGCCCTCTCACCATGTGTATTTCTTTTAAATTGTGTTTTTTAAACCTATATATGGAAGCATAACCTAAATACAGAAGAGTCACAAAGGAGCCACACTGTGAGCTTCACACCTTGGGCACCTGGGAAGGGCATCAGTTGTGCTCACCCCAAAACCTGGCACCGTTCATCAGGCATGTGTGTGAGCTCCACAGAATGGAGTGTGTGGTCCCTTCTCTGTCCTTTGCTTGCCCGTGTGTGTGAGGCCCTCTGTCTCAGGTGCAGATGTCACCGTTGTGCTGCAGTAGGGTGTGTGGATGGTTTCTGGATTTGGGCTTGTGCAGGGAGGGCAGCCGCAGCCATCCCATGGGGTGTTTCTGCCTGGTGCCGGGGTGGAGCCACCTGCTCCTAGCATCAGCCCCCAGCAGCATCGGCAGGTCCCCCCAAGTGAGGTTTTCTCCTTCCATGGGTCGTAACTGCCACCACCGTCGTAGAACTTGCTCAGCGAGAAAGTCGAGCGGCGGCTGCAGCTCCTTCCCTTCTCAGGGTCAGCTCAGGGTGGGGCTGTGAGCAGCTGGGATGCTGAGATTGCTCTGGGGGCAACCTTGGGGCCATCATGCAGGTCCCCACCTGGTCGGATCGGGCTGAGCTCTCCCGGTGCCTCCCCTCCAGGTGTGCCCCTGTGCTGTGCCACCCTGCAGTGGCTCCTGGCTGAGAATGCTGCTGTGGATGTTGTGAGGGCCCGAGCACTATCTTCCGTCCAGGGAGTGGCCCCTGATGGCGCTGATGTTCACCTCATCGTCCGAGAGGCAAGCAGGGGTTCAGGGAAACGAGCCTCGGCGCCAGCGGTTCTCAGAGTGGGGCCCCTGGCCGGGGGACCACTCCCCCTGGGCGGGGGCCCAGCAGCCTTTCCCCAGCCCTCCAGAGGGCTCTGATGTGACCGTTTCCCTTCACACCAAGCAGACCCCACTCAGGCAGGGAGGGCCTTGCAGCTCAGATCCCCAAGGACTGTCCCTGTCCAGCCCTGTCCCCCACGGGGGCCCCTTTCCCCTGCACATACTGAAGTCATAGTGGGGTCCACAGTGCTGCTGGGTGACACCTGTACCCCAGGAGCAGCCGACACTAAGCCCCTGCTAACCCCCTGCACTGCCAGAGAGCTCGGGACCCATTGTGGATGCTGCTGAATGGCAAATGGCGCTGCTGGTCCCTGGCCCCTGTCGTGCACACCTTTCCAGTGACTCATGACTGTGGTGGCAACATCAACTCCAGCAGATCCTCACGTCCCACCTGCAGAGGCTCTTGAAGAGTAGCCCAGGTTGCCAGGTCACGTGTGTCCCTGAGGGCAGACAAGGCTGCCCAGGGCTCGGAGTCTGCACTTGTTTTTCTTTTTTTGAGACAGAGGCTGGAGTTCAGTCCCCAGCTGGATCTCAGCTCACTGCAACCTCCACCTCCCTGGTTTCAAGCAATTCTCCTGCCTCAGCCTCCTGAGTAGCTGGAGGCGCGTGCCACCACAGCCAGCTAAGTTTTGTATTTTTAGTAGAGATGGGGTTTCACCACGTTGGCCAGGTCTTGAACTCCTGACCTCACGTGATCCGCCCTCCTCAGCCTCCCAAAGTGTTAGGATTACAGGCTTGAGCCACCGCACCCGGCCCAGTGCCTACACTTGGAATCAAGCCTTGGCCTTCAGGTACCTTGGCTGCCCACTACACAGCCCTTTCAGCCCTGAGGCTAGGTCTGGTGGTGGCACTGTGGGTCGGTGCTGATAGCCCTGTGGAAGAGCCACAGAGGACGCTGGCATCTCACTTCATGTGCTGTGTATGGAGAATAAGCCTGGCTTCCTGGCTCTTGGCCTGTCCTTGCCATTCTTTGTTGTCCACCTTGGCTCAGTCCAAACTTACGAAGGGAGAGGTGGCTATCCCATAGACAGGCCCAGCAGCTCCTGGTGCCCACACCAGTGCCCTAACCCTGCTGCAGACATGATCTGTGATGCCCAGTGTGGGGGGTGGGTCGGGGCCCCCAAGGGCATGGCAGGATCTCCATGTAGGTTGCCCACAAGGCACAGCACAGCAGTGGTCTCCTAGAGTGAACCCCAGTCTGGCTGAAGGCCCTGCGTGGATTCCTTGGTCTGAGGGACGGGGTCTTCCTGGACACATCTGTGTGCACACAAGCAGGTTCTTCAGGTAGAAGAACCCAGAGCAGGGTACTGAGCTCTGCCTGCCTTCAGGGTATAGCACAGCCCAGGGCAGGAGTTGGGACCCTCCCAAGCCTCATGTGCTGCCAGCTGGGGAGGGTCCCATGTAGCCTTGAGCCCCCAGGGCAGGTGTGAATGCCATAGGCAGGTGGTGAGGCAGCTCGTGTGTTGCAGGTGGCCATGACTGACATCTGCCCAGCAGGGCCCATCCAGGCCGTGGAGATTCAAATGGAAAGCTCCTCTCTGGCCGACATGTGCAGGGCGCACCATGCCGTCATCGGGCGCATGCAGGTATATGGGCTTCTCAGGAAGGAGGCTAGGGTCTGTGGGTCGCTGGCTGAGGTCCTTGATGGGACCCTGTAGCTGCTGGCTTCCGGGTCTGCGGCTCCCCACAAGGGAGCCGTTGGAAGATACACGCGCGCTCTGCGGCTGAGTGTGGTGTTCGCGGTGGGTCTGTGGGCAATGAGAGTCGTGGGGCAGACCCTCTCGGGAGGCCGATGTGTGCCACCGCCCCCGGCCACCTGCAGGTCCGGGCACTGCCAGGGCTGCCAGGCCAGTGGGTTTCTATTTGTGACCTGTGGGTGAGCCTGAGGTTTCCTCCCTTCCCCTGGCTGGGCAGAGGCTTCGTGGAGAGGCTGTGGCCTGGGCGTGGGTCCTGGAGCCAGGTGTTGGGAGCCTACAAGTCTTTGTCAAGAGAATGGAGTTTGCAGCCTGCCCCACTCACAGCCGCAGGGGTTCCCTGGCACAGGAATAGCTGCTTCCATGCTGTGCCTAGAGCCAGCTTGTGCCAGCAGCTGCCAGATCTGAAAAGAAGCTCTCCAAGTTCCAAGCTAAAGTCTACGCTGGTACCCCTGGCAGGGCAGCTGTCAGGCCTGCCCACTAGGACTGTAGTACAGCTTTGGCCCGTAGTGGGTCTGCAGTGACTCTAGAAACCGTTTTCGGAGTTTGTTGGGGTGGTCCCTGCCCAAGCCTGAGACCCAGGGCCTGTGGCCTGACACCAGCTCAACTCCTGTGGGTGCCGTGGTGATGCCTGGTGACCAGGCCCTGCGGTGAGCAGTGGCTCTACCCAGCCTCGGCCGGTGGCTCAGATGGTCGACCCCAGTGAGCACGCCAGCTCACACAGCACCAGGACCTGGAGATCTCATTTGGTGCAAGGACCCTGCAGCCTGCACTGTAACACTGCTGTGACCCTGACGACCGTGTCACATAGCACCGTGACCCCAGTGATCTCACAGCACCACAATAGGGCTGCCGGGGCTCGGGGGTCTCATCCTGAGTGCTGGGAGGCTGGTGGGGAAGGGTGCTCTGTCAGAGGAAGCTCTGTCCACTGGGCCATCTGGTCCCCAAGAACATCCTGTCCCCTGCCGAGAGCAGAGCTCCAGCCCTGGGTTTGTGTCCAGATCTCTCTCTCCTTACAAGGACACAGGTGTGTGGGGTCAGACCCACCCCAGTGACCTCATGTTGATTATCTGCAGAGACCCCATTTCCAGGCACAGCCAGGCTCTTGGGTGCTGGCGCTAGGGCTTCCATGTGAATCTGGGGGGCCTGAGTCACCCCAGAGGAGCCCACGCACTGCTGCTGCTTCCTGGACACAGATCTTGGCTCAGGCCACAGACCTTAGTGTCCCCCAATGGTGAGGCGCCCGTCCCACGCACAGGAGTGCTCTCAGGACCCTGCCTAGCACACGGCAGCTGCCAGCACTTCGGGAACCTGTCGGGCCAGTGCTGCCCCTCAGGGTGTTGGGGTCCCTTTCCAGTTGCTTTAGTCTAGGGCCTGCAGGGCCTCACTGCCCAGGCTCGTCTGGAAATTTATTTTTATGTACTTGTGTATTTATTTGAGAGAATCTTACTCTATCACCCAGGCTGGAGTGCAGTGGTGATATCTCTGCTCACTGCGACCTCCACCTCCCAGGTTCAAGGGATTCTTCTGCCTCAGCCTCCCAAGTAGCTGGGATTACCAGCTCCTTCCACCACACCCGGCTAATTTCTTTATATTTTTAGTAGAGATGCAGTTTCACCATATTGGTAGGCTGGTCTCAAACTCCTGATCTCAAGTTATCCGCCTGCCTAGGCCTCCTAAAGTACTGGGATTACAAGTGTGAGCCACCATGCCCGGTCCCATGTGGGAATTCGGGTCCGAGCCCAGCAGTGGGCTGTGCTGCAGGAATGAGTGAATGGCCAGGCCAGGGTCTCTGCACAAGACACTGAGGCAGCTCCCGGCTGCTCTGTGCTCTTGAGTGGCCTGAAGGCCAGGATGAGAGAAGGGGACAGGTGGGCAGGTATCGATCTGCACAGAGTGTAGCTCTTGGGGACAGGGAAGATCCCAGCAGTGGAGAGGAAAGAACCAAACATTCATTTCCAAGAAACTGTCAGGCCAAGGGCTCTGCCCTGCCACTCTGGAGGACGGGAAGTCGAGGTGAACAGCAGGGTGGAAACAGCAAAGTGCCGGTTGGGGGGCGAGGCCGGGAGGCAGAGCTGGGCAGAGGGAGAGAGTCACCCTGCTCCAAGGGAAGTGGGGGCAGGTGCTAGGGCATGTCCTCTCCAGTATGTCCCGTGTCCCCCCAGACGATGGTGACAGAGCAGGCCGCCCAGGGCTCCAGTGCCCCTGATCTGCGTGTGCAGTATCTCCGCCAGATCCACGCCAACCACGAGGTGAGCACCTGGCCCAGGCAGTCCCTCCACCTGGGTAGCGGGAGTGCCAATCACCTGGCCCCCGTCCAGTCACCCGGGGTCCTGGGCAGTCCCTCTACCTGGATAGCCAGGAGTGCCCCTCACCAGGCCCCCATCCAAGTCGCCTGGGGTCTGTGAAGTCCTCACAGCACATGAGCGTGGCTCCCACGGGCCGGGGCGGAGTTGAACAGTCACGGCTGTTTCCTGCCCCTCATCCTACCTGAGGGCCGGTGTCTAGGCCAGGCTGCGTGTCCCATGTTTGAAGGTTCTTCCTCGGACCACCTGCCACTTCCCAAGTATGGTCCTGAAGTGGAGGGTCCCCCAAAGGCACCAGTGACGTCCCCAGGGCCAGGTGGGGCCTGAGCTGCGGCTGTTCCACTGCAGACGCTGCTGCGGGAGGTGCAGACCCTGCGTGACCGGCTCTGCACGGAGGATGAGGCCAGCTCCTGCGCCACCGCCCAGAGGCTGCTGCAGGTGTACCGGCAGCTGCGACACCCCAGCCTTGTCCTGCTGTGACCCCGCGGGGCTGCCCTGCCCACGGCTCTGGCTGCGATTCCAGACTCTGTTAACAGCCCCCCGGGCTTAGTGGTTTTAGAGGAAAGCTGAGTGGGCCTGGCCAGAGCTGTGGAAGGTCGGGGAAGGTGTGACCTGGCTATGGAGGAGAACAGGAAAGTGCTTGGGGGCCGTGGAATGCAAAGCAGATCCTGATTGGGAGCTACCCAGGTGGGCTGTGAACCTGGCGGGTCCAGCTTCGCATCCTCTGCTGGTGGCTCCTCTCCTGACTGTGGCCTCCGCACTCGCCTTCCTCCTGCCGCAGCAACCCCTGGGCCAGGAGGTGATGGGGACATTCTGGACCCAAGCGCCGGAAAAACAGGGTTTCTGGGGTTTGGACTGAGGTCGGTTTGTACCTGTTGCTGCCACTCCACCAGGAGCACCACTGCCCCTCTGGGTGGCACTGTCAGGCACCCATGGTACCCTTGTCACACTGTCCACACCTGCCCGGCTGCCCACTCTGGGACCCCGAGGTAGGAGGGTGCTCCCTGAAACCAAAGCACAAAGCACCACGCAGGCAGCTCCTGCAAGTGCCCGTGGCTCCGAGCCACAAGGAAGGGCCATTGGGTGGCCTGTGGCCGGAATGCTCAACAGTGAGGGGCCTCCGGCTGGGCTGCACCCAGCACTGTGCACTATTTTCAGGGCCACTCAGGGTGGGGCTATGGCCTGGGGGCACCCTGAGCTCCAGCCCCCAGCCTCCCTCAGCCTGGGCTACTGCCCGGCTCCCGGTGCTGCCGTTTTCATCGGAGGGGGGGACCTCATCCTTCCTCCTGCGGGTGCTTGCGCCGCTCCCACCGCAGGCACTGTCGATGAGTGTGGGTGGGAGCTGTGAGGCGCTTCTCTGCTGTGACAAACGACCCTGTCTGTGAAACTTCAGGCCTCCGCTGGTTTTTTTAACCCCTTCCCACCCTCTCTCTGGGGTCCCTTCAGAGCTGTGGCACTGCTTGGAGCCTCCAGCACTGGAGTGGCCTCCAGGGAAGAAGCGTTCTCTGTGACCCAGTCACCTTCAAGGAGGCCTGGGGCACTACCTGGCTGCTCCTGCCTTCCTCCCCTAGTGGGAGGGGCCTGTGAGGTGCTGCCAGTCAGGGTTTGTCGCCCTCAGGGCTGACATCCAGGAAGCAGGCTCCGCTGGTGACACTCCTAACCCAGCCCTGCAGTGGCCTGTGCTCCTAGGGAGAGCTGGGGCCCAGCAAGCCGCCCCTAAGGAGGGCTTGCCCCTCTTAGCATCCCACTGTGCTCCAGGGCCATCCTCTGCCACCCTGGGCAGGTGCCTCTGGCTCTGACCTTTGTCCCGTGCTGGTACCCATGTCTTGTTCTGAGCATCAGGGAGAGTGAGGGGGCTAGACCAGCCCGTGGGTTCTCCTGAACAGGCCCTGGATGAGTGGACAGGACTGTGCAGGGCCTGTGTCCACCTGCCTGGGGGAGGGGGAATCTATCTGGGACTGTGCCAGCCCTTCACTCACCTTCACAGGCCACAAGGATCCCAGAGCTGACAGATCTGGGTCCCCTGCAGGACTCACCTCCCCACCCCCAGCTGGATGCCAGCAGGCCTCAGGAGGCTGGGAGCCTGAGGGGCCTTCCACGGGGCTGCTGCTTGTCCAGAGTGGCACTGTCCACCCCTGTCAGCCTCAGCTGTGCAGGGGGTGTGGGGGCACCACTGTGGCTTATGAAAGAACAGACACGAGAATGAGCCACAGGGGTGCAGGTTCCTGACCTAAGGCAGTGCTAGCCACCAGGTCTGAGATGGTGTCCCCAGCTGTGCTGAACCCCTGTCAGAGCATGCTCCAGGGTCACCCTTGAAGAGGCATCAGCACTGGTGTGTTTAAAAATGTTCATGCCCACCTGCTGGCCTCACATCCTGCTGTGTGGGCGCCTGGTTCAAGTGCCGTGTAGTCCCCTCCCCCAAAAAAGCTGTAGCACAGACCCTGACAGGACCAAGAGGACAGGTCATGTGGAACAGCAAAAAGGAAATCTACAGAGGCAGGAAAAGGGACCACAGTGGGCAGCTGCTGGAGTGCACAGGACTCTGAAATGCCTCCAACTCACAGGCACCTCCAGGGAACCTGCCGTCAACACTGGGCATTCAGAGAGCGCTGGCCTCAGAGGCAGGTGGCAGGTCCACAGTCAGCTTCTCGGTGAGCCTGTGGATCATGCTGTGGCCGGCTCTGCTGCCCATCCTGGGCCTCCCCGCCCTCACCTGCTCAGTGCACACCTGGGCCGTCGTCGCCAAGGTATCCCTATGTGAGGCCCTTCCCCGGTGCCAGGGGCGGCCTCAACCTTTCCGGCATTCTCCACCTGTTCCAGCTCAGATCCTAGCTTGACACTAGTCTTGCATGACTCTCAGCCCAGCTCACACGTAGGGTGGGAGCAGCGCTTCCTCATCCTCTCAGGGGCACCTGCTGGGCACCACCTGGCAGCTGTCTGCACAGAGCACCACCTCCCTCAGCAGCAGCAGTGGGGCCCACCCTTCCAGGCCCGGCCATTATGCCCTGTTCAAAAGGGTTTCTTTGACCTCCTACCCCACCCTCCACAGGCTAGCCTCTGCCTCCAGCCTCGCCCCAGGCTGTGGATGTGGATGGAAGGGGGTTCCCGCAGTGGTAGGCCAAGTCAGGCAGGGTGGTACTGGGAGACCCTCTCCAAGGCTCTGCTGAGGGGGAGCCTGGAGGTGCTGAGTGCCAGCCACTGTGGTTCCACCTGGTGCCCCCAGCCTTAGCTGCCACCAGGGGACACTGCAGGCACCACACCGGGAACAGCCCTAGCTCTAGGGCTACTGCTCCTCCCTGCCAGCTTGGACCAGGTAGCGCCTGGTCCTCCAAGGGTTAACTCGGACCCGCCTTGCCCACGTGGTTGGGACAGTTCCGGCCCCTTCCCACTGAACCCTGCCCTTCTTTGCCCCTAAGGCTGGTGGGCTTAGGGAAGGGGCATCCCAGCAGGTTCCTCCTCTTGCTGTGGGTGCCACGTCCCCAGGATTGGCTCTCCCCCACCCTCTGCCACTCGCTTGGCCTTGAGCAGTGTGCAAGGAAGGAAAGAAGCCCGAGGGACCTGCCAGGGGCTAGGGAGGGTTGAGGGCCTAGGCTGGGGCGGCGTGGTGTCGTGAGATCATCTGTGATCTGTGTTGGTGGCTTCACCCCACCCAGGCTCAGGCTGTCCCCCACCCACCCTCAGCCTCCATGCTCCCCAGGGCCTCAAGACCTCCCCTCCCTCCTCACCTCCACCGGCCTGGGTCACCCCGCCCACCCACAAGGCCGCCTCCGGGGCCGCAGTCCTTGGGCACTGGGAGGTTCTGGGCGCTCTGTGGGGAGAACGGCGGGCCTCCTCCACCTCCAGCTGCAGGCGCCCCGGAGCCCACGCGCAGCTGCGGGACAGACGGTTTAATGCGCGGCCTCAGTACTCCCAGAGCGCGGGCCCGGCCGGGGCGTCGGCGTCCGCGCGCAGCAGGCCCGAGGCGCCGCCGCGCAGGTACTTGCCGCTCCGGGCGCGGATGGCCAGGCGGCCGCGCTCGCGGAACTCGAAGAGGAAATCCTCGGGGCGTTCGCCGTCGCTGCACACGCTGCCATGGCTGCCGGTGTACCAGAACCCGCCGCCGCGGCCTGGGTGGGGGGACGGCGTCGGCGGGCTGTCCACGTGCCCGTCACGACCCACTCCCCGCGCCCACCCGGCCCGCCGCGCACCTCGGATCTGGTACGCGCCGTCGCTGAAGCTCAGGTGGAAGACGTCGTAGACCGAGCGGTTGGTGTCCAGCTGGTTGGAGCCGCGGCGGTGGCAGACGAAGCCGTCCAGGCTGCGCAGCACCAGGATGGGCCGGTTGATGAGCTTAAGGATGAACTCCTCGTCCTTGCCTGGCGGGGAGAGCGTCTGCTGCGCCGCCCCTCCCGTCACCTTCCCCGTCCAGGCCGGGCGAGGTGGGCCCCTGGGAAGCACCACCCCCAGATTTGGGGGCCCAGACCTGGCACTGCCTCGCGTGCGGCCTTGGCAAGGTGCCTTGGGGGTTCCCGAACGTGCAGTGGAGATAAGGAGACTCCCATAAGGACACTCAGACCTAACTGTTTCCCTTGCCAAGATGGATTATGTGGACCAACAAGTGTGACTGCCACGACAGCAGCTGTTCCGTGGGCTGGGGAGGGTCCAGCTCTTGGTGGAGGTGGGGTTTCTGGGCAGGTGCTGTCCCTGGATGGAGACAGCCCCTGCCCCACTCCCTGGCAGGCAGAGTGCTCACCCACAAAGTCGCTGATGGCCGCCAGCTGCCCGTTCTTCTTCATGCACACGTAGCGCCCATTGCTGGCTTTGAGTGCCACTCGCCGGCCGCGCCACTGCAGCTCAAACATGGTGTCGGCGGAACTGGAGGGAGCAGCGAAAGGTCTCAGGGCAGCAGGAGATGGGGGTGCAAGGTCTCACTTCCCCATCCTCCTCAGGTTCCAAGGACTGGGACAGGAGCCTGCCCTCCACTGGCACACCTACCACCATCAGGAGCTACCACCCCCAGTGGCCTTTCCTCCCTGTCTGAGCTGCTATGGCAGTCCTCATCTCCGAGGCAGTGATGGTGGTGGAAGTTATGGGAATGGTGATGGGGATGGGGACGGTGATGGGGATGGTGGGGATGGGCATGGGGATGGTGATGGGGATGGTGGTGATGGGGATGGTG